GGCAGAGAGAGATATTGGTGTCCTGGCAAGAGATTAGTATTCACTTATTTTTATTTTTTTATTTTTTATTAAAGATTTCAACATAACAATTAATCAAAAACATATCATCCTCATCCCCCCCTATTTTCCCCTCCCCGAAAAGAAAACCAGCCCTCCCACCCCCACCCCCCCAGACTTCCCTCAGCTCCTCTCTCTGTTCACTCATAACATGGAATACAATGATTCCTTGGATGAGCAGCATTCGGTTTCAAGCAGATACTTACTTTCTCCATCTGAAATAGATAGAAATCAATGAGATCCTGTGGCTCATACAGAGACTGATTCTCCTTATGCTTCTCTAGCTCCTCCTTTGCAAATGAACGCACCATCTCTGTGCAGGACAAGGCCTTCTTGTGGGGCCCTGGGAGATATTTCATGAGCCATGGGAGCATTTCATAAAGCTAAAGGAAAGATAGCAGAAATGCTGCCATTACCATGAGGAAGCTTATTCAAACCATTTGTGCTTTGGAATTGCACTTATAAAACATGATCTGCATTATTCTTCAGGGCTAGCATATTAGTTTGAGTCTCACTAAGAAGAAGGAAGGTGTCTATAGCTCCTCTGGAATCCCACAATGATTGGATTCTGTGAATTATCCCTAGCTGAAAATGTGAAAGAAAACTATGTCTCAAAATATTTTTCCAGCTCCCTGGCATAATTTCAAAACTGGGCACTATCTCAGGACCTCTCCTGGAACAAGTTAGTGGCCGTTTGTGGTAGTTGGAGGTGGGTGGAGAATAGGGATGGGGGGAAATTCAAGTAAGTTTCATGATTACGTTGTTGTTTTTACAGATTAGGAATGGATGTAGAAATGTGGAGAACTGAACTTAAATTTGAGGAAAGGGTTTAGTTGATCATCCAGAAGGGGGCTGCTTTCCTCAGCAATAGTGATAGTGCTTGAGTTGCTGGTCTCTCTTTCATTAAAAAAAATTCCAGCCAAGTGGTGGCTGCAGGGGCCTCACCATGGAGGCCATCATGATTGCCACTGCTAGGTGGGTATAGAGTAGACACATTTAGTTTTCCATGATGGCAACAAAAGGATGTAATTCCCTTCTTGAGAAGATTATTTTGTTCACCTCTGTTCCCCTAGATGACCTGTTCTCAAGGTCATTGTTCCATTTTTGTCCCATCTTCCCTCTAAAGTGTCTCCTGTGGTGGACAAAGTCTTCTTTTGTTGTTTTTTTATGGGGGGGGTTGGTATGTTTTTTATCTCAATGATAATCATGAGCAATGGATCAGGCTGTGAGATAGTAAGTGGCCCTTATCTCAGATCAATTTAAACCTGATCTCACTTTTCCAACCCTCTATCAGAATATTGATTTGTGGTATTAAGGCCCTTGGGAGACCTGTTTGGCAGGAATGGAAATGACTACTCACAGCATAACCAAAGCTACATATAAATTGTAGGATAAATTCTATGGCTTCCATCAGCTTCTGGAACCGTTCATCTTCAAGAGCAAACCGGTGCCCAAAAGCCACAGCACATATCACATTGGAGACTGAAGTAGCGATGGGCAAGGAGGGGTCAAGTGGCTGTCCTGCAAAATAAAGTTATACTAATGTTAGCTCAGCTGGTCCAGTTCATACTGAGAGTGGGGTTTCATGGTGGCCAAGAGAAACTGCTGGGATCTCCATTAGGAACCAAGAGAAGCATATCACATTCCTTTCTAAAATGGACAGAGGTAGGACACAAATATATCTCCATATGCCAGCTCAGCACCATCACTGAGCATCACATACCCTTTGAACGTGCAAAAGCCTCCACGAGGTGATGGGCCTCCTCTGCTATTTGGTGCTCCATGCCTTTCTTTTCCCGCCACAGCTTCTGCAGAGTGACTACAACAAAGCGTCTCTGTTGCCTCCAGGTGTGACCATTTGATAATGCAATACCTATGGAAAATCAGTGAGAAATAATTACAGTCATACCTCGGGTTAAAGTCGCTTCGGGTTAAATCTTAAATATTTTCAGGTTGCCTCCCACGGCGACCCGGAAGTAACAGAACAGGTTACTTCAGGGTTTTGCCACTCGCACATGCGCAGACAGTCAGAATGACGTCACAGGCATGCTCACTTTACAGAATCAGCAAAAAGTGAGATTTCTCGACAGCTCTACCGTTTTCATTTTTGAAGAGAAAACTGGTATCTGATACAGTGTGATGTCGACAAGTTTAGATCTTTCCATGGAAGGCCATCATGATCAAATTTCACTTCTCTCTATCAAGCTTCTGGTGATGCCATTGGGAAAAGAATGGAAGTGGTGGAAATGGAAGGAGCTTTTTTCTTTCTCTCTTGCTAAATTAGGATGGAAAATCACTGCCTACAGGAAATGGGATCACAAGATATAAAACTGGGTGTAAAATAATGAATATACAACAAGTAAATAACTATGGGTTATTTTTTAATATTGTACATTGGTACCTCAGGTTACATACACTTCAGGTTACATACGCTTCAGGTTACAGACTCCGCTAACCCAAAAATAGTGCTTCAGTTTAAGAACTTTGCTTCAGGATGAGAACAGAAATCGGGCTCTGGCGGCGCGGCAGCAGCAGGAGGCCCCATTAGCTAAAGTGGTGCTTCAGGTTAAGAACAGTTTCAGGTTAAGTATGGACCTCCGGAACGAATTAAATACTTAACCTGAGGTACCACTGTATATGACTACAGTGCAGAGATTCCTGTTTAAATAGAAATGAAGAATTTGTTTTTTATAAAAGAAAATATGGAGGAATGGTTGGAATTTTGGGGGAAATAAAGTCACCATACTGGAATGGAGGAGGACTATTGGGTACACACTTGAAGGTGATAGCCGGCTGGTGAAAGACCCTGTGTGAGAGGCAGAGAAGGAAAGATCTCCCAGGGTGGGAGACTGGGGGAAGAAAGGGAAGCACCCAGGTGAGAGCTGGGAGGGTCCACTCCCTTCTGTGTGAGACAGGAGTTAAGATCTACCTTTGAGACAGGGCTTGGCGTTTCTTTCTCTCTTTTACTTTTTTTGTTTGTTTGCTTAGTTAGTGTTTCTGAAAAGTTTCAATAAAAAGTATGGAAAACTAAACAAACCCAATTCAGCCAAATTTTCGACACTGTTTTTAAGGATATAATGTGTGGTGTCAACCAGTTACTACTTCTACTGGTCCAGCTAGACAGGTTTGGGTTCTTTTACTGAGGGTGAATTCTGCACCATATTTTTGACAAGACGTAATGCATCAATGGTGGATATATTCTGCTTTGTTAATTCTTCTGCAACGCTGCCTGAACACTACTGCATTATTTCTGTCTGTGGAAACTATATTGCAACGAAAGTGGGACAAAAATAAGTTTGTGCATTTGTAGTTTTCAGCAGAAAGTTAAAGGATGTGACAGAATGGAAATGAAACTGTATGATCACCTCAAAATCTTTGCAGGCATAAATAGTATTGACAATGGAGTTGGATATAACCACCTTGAAAGTATTATGAGCACAAATCATTATGAATGTGCAATTAAAAAACGTTTTCTGGAGGAGCCCTTAGCACCAGTAATAAACTGTGGAGTTAGTGATAGGAATTATTGGGCAAGCCAGCCCCACAGTAACTCACATTGTGTCTTTCAGAGTGAATGTCCCTGTTCTTTGGAACTGCATTCAGAATATGACTCTGTACTTTCAAAAAAAGAGGAAGACATTTTTCCCCCAACAAGCTTTCCCAGTCGTGTACAAAGGTCACTTCAATAGGTGTATACCTTTTATTGTTTTAACCCATATTTAGTTGTTGTTGGTTTTTGTACCGTTTTAAAACCTTTTATAACAAATATAAAACACTTAATTGATGCAACAAAAAACAGCATAAAATACAGTATAAAACGTGAATAACAATAAATTCAGAATTCAAAAATCAATTTAGGGGGGAAATCCAGCCAATAAACATTAGATGATCACCAGGGCTAGCTGGCTAAATTAGTCCTATTTGGGCCAGAGAGGAGACCAGGGGAGAATTAGCTGTGGGATCCCAGAGCGGGTAGTCTTCATAAAAAGGGGAGGGGAGGGGAGGAAGGGGAATAAAAGACCAGGCTAAATTCAAATTGAAAGCCAGGCAGAATAGCTCTGTCTTACAGGCATTCTTAAGGAAATCAGCCCTGAGTGCTCACTGGAAGGACAGATCGTGAAGCTGAGGCTCCAAGACTTTGGCCACCTTATGAGAAGAGAAGACTCCCTGGAAAAGACCCTGATGTTGGGAAAGATGGAGGGCACAAGGAGAAGGGGACGACAGAGGACGAGATGATTGTACAGTGTTCTTGAAGCTACCAGCATGAGTTTGACCAAACTGCGGGAGGCAGTGGAAGACAGGAGTGCCTGGCGTGCTCTGGTCCATGGGGTCACGAAGAGTCGGACATGACTAAACGACTAAACAACAACAACAACAACACAGGCCCTGCGGAAGGAAGTTAAATCCTGCAGGGCCCTAGTCTCATGGGACAGAGCATTCCACCAGGTCGGAGCCATCACTGAGAAGGCCCTGGCCCTGGTAGAGGATAATCTGACTTACTTAGGACCCGGGACTTCTACACTATGATTATTCATAGTTTAAACTGGTTTTATATCTCTGTAAGTTGCCTTGAGACATACATGCAAGAAGCAATTCATAATGTATAATGATGATAGTAACTATGTGATTGCAAAGTTCACATGTTATATTTGCCACATGAGTCCATGCCCAAAACATGTTGGAAGAGCTTGTTGGGAGAAGCAGTGTATTGTGTTTCTTAGAGATGTCATAATCAATCAAATCTTCACATGTGCTGAAGCCAGCTTTTCATGGACCCAAACGAATGTGTCATTTGATAGCATGAGAACTAGCCACTCTGAATGACCTCAGCCCCTAGGTGTTGGCTCCTAGGTAATGCATTTCCCGTTGTGTGCAGCAGTAATAGAGAACCTTTGTTCTGTTTTTCAGGACAGCCCTTTAAATTCTTATTCTTCACTACTTACCCTTTCCTTTCATCAGAGTTCTAAGGAAAGGAGTCTCTGGTCGCTCGTCTAATTCTTCAGAGTGGTCAATGAGCGCTTCTTTCACTGCTTGGAATCCAGACAGTACTACAATGGGTAGATGTCCAAACCATATGGTGTAAATATTTCCATGTTGCTTTCCCAGCTTCCATTTGGGTCAAAAGAGAAGAGACGAATGATGTGTTCAAAAAATGCAGTTGGATATTTCAACTTAATACGAGAACGTCATCCTCCCTCACCTCTGCAGTTTCTCACTATGTGCAGTTCTCTTGCTAGCATCCTTTCCCCTTCCCTCCCTCTCTCCCTCCCTCCCATAATTCCAACCCATTTGTTTTACTCCCTCCGAGCCATGTTGCCTCTGCTTAGGATCAGAGCAGCAGAGACATTTCATAGTAACCAGCCCTCCTGTGACAGACAAGAAGATGCACAAGTCATTGCCAGAAAATGATCTTGCCACAATCTTTGTGTGTGCAGGGATGTGGAACCTGTAGCCCACCAGATGCTTTTGAACTAGCACTCCCACCATCCCTGACTATTGGCCATGGTGGTTGGGGCAGATGGGCATTGTAGTCCAAAACATCTGGAGGGTACCAGGTTGGCATAGGCTGGATTAGAGCCCTGAGTCAGCTTTCAGACCCACGGTGGGTTACAGCAGGAGCATCACCACCATGCAAATATATGGCAAGGAATTCAGATGATACATGTCTGGGCTAGAGAATATTACCAATTCCAATGTTTTAAAAGTTAATATGTTCATATCCGATGGTTGAGTAATTTTGTATTTTTTGAAAAGTTTTCGCTGGAAAAAGGCTCATAATTGTATTTAAGAAACAAACAAATAAACTAAACTATGGTCTGACAAAGAGTAAATGCTTGCGGAGGAGGCAATGGAAAGGTGCCTGTTCTGTTTGTCTCTTGTCTTCTCTAGTTACACGTGAGCTGCTGCTGAGAAAGGCTGGTGTGCTCCTGCTTCATTGCCAGTTGAACTTGTTGCCCTTCCGTCTGTTGGAAGGGGAGAAGTACACAGCATTCTAGGCCAGGGATGTCCAACAGGTAGATTGGGGTGTGTCTGTGGTAGATCTTGTGGGGCCCCTGAACCCCCCTGAAAGCTCAAGAACTTTGGCTCCCTAAAAATGCTCAACAAATTTGGTAGATCACCGCCAGTTTTTTATAGTGGGAGTAGATCTCAGTCTCTTGAAAGTTGGACATACCTGTTCTAGGCCACGTTGCAGCATGCAGTAGAACAAAAGGAAGACAAGATCAAGAAGATACTGTAAGAAGCTGTTATATTAATTCAGCTTCTTGTGTTACACAATGTGTTTTGGAGATAAGTGCCCTTCAACCAGCAGCTATGAACGACACACATTAAAACTAATATAAAGGGCAAGATTCCGATTAATACTGAAAAGCACAAAACCATACAAAGTAGGATAATGGCAGCATGGGTAGCTGTGTGAAATCAGGGGAAAACACAAGGCAACATAAAACATTGCATTTTCTATGGGCCAACTTGTAAGTGGTAGCAAGACTTCATTTCCAAGTGAAATTAGTTTCATGGCTTTCTAAATGACTCTCTGAAGTTGATTTCACAGCCCTGGCCTTGTAATCTTGGAGAGAGTATTACCTGGAGATTAGCACTTACTGTAAGCTTGCCATACATCAGGAAAATTCCTGACATGTCCTGACAGGAATCGGCAAAATGTCAGGAACACTGAGATGTATGGCAACCCAATGGAAAAAGCTCAACAATTTCCTAAAAAATGGCAACCCTAATTTACCGCAGAGATCCTTTAAGAAGATTTTGGTATTTTAGTTTATAATTTGTTTTTTATAAGTGCTTCTGGTTTGAGTGAAAAAGATTGAATAGGGCATGGAGGTTAGTGCCTGTTGAGAGGCTGCTGTGAATGAATGCTGTGGTCTGTCTTTTTTTGTAATAATATTTTATTCTTTTTTCATATAGAAAGTTACATTTCTTAAGCTTGGTAACCTCAAGGTAAGATTACTTGCAATGTGTTATACATAGGGCTGCCTCTGAAGACAGTTCGGAAACTTCGGCTAGTGCAGAATTCAGCGGCCAGGTTGCTCACCGGAACAAGAGCATATTACATCGCTCCTGGTCCGGCTACACCAGCTACCAATTAGTTTCTGGCCCCAATTCAAAGTGCTGGTTTTGACCTAAGAAGTCTTAAATGGCTCAGAACCACAATACCTCAAGGACCGCCTCTTTCGATATGATCTTACCCAGACCCTGAAATCATCTTCTGAGGCCCTTCCTTGTGTTCCTCCTCCATAAGAGTTCCAGAGACAAGGCAACACAAGAATGGGCCTTCTCTGCAGTGACTCCCCGTCTGTGGAATGCTCTCGCCAGGGAAGTTCACCTGGCAAAACCTTCCTTTTTAACTAGGCCTTTGGTTGATTTCATTGACATCCTATGCCCTTTTAAAATCTTATTTTTTTTCTGTGGGGGCGTATTATTGGGTGGTTAATAATAATAACAACAACAATAATAACAATAATGTTCCAATTAACAAAACAATTGGAATATAGAAATTTTCCATATAGAAAGTTACATTTGTTACTCAACAATTATACAGTGGTACCTCGGGTTACACACACTTCAGGTTACATACGCTTCAGGTTACAGACTCTGCTAACCTAGAAATAGTACCTCGGGTTAAGAACTTTGCTTCAGGATGAGAACAGAAATCATGCTCTGGCGGTGCAGCAACAGGAGGCCCCATTAGCTAAAGTGGTGCTTCAAGTTAAGAACAGTTTCAGGGTAAGAACGGACAGGTTAAGAGGCTAATGATGGGAGTAAATTAACCTCCCGAGTTTTCCCAGGGGATGGGAAAATGCTGCCTCGTCCACAGTTGCCAATAAATCACCCCCGAGTTCGAAGGAAGGAGGGGGTGGGGGCACTGGACGGAAAGCCCTCGAGTGAATTTTTGGATCTCCTGGACGCTACTTCTGATTGTGATCCTAGTTGCATTGCTCAAGATAAATAATTGGAGAAGAGTAAATGCACATGTTTCGAGCGAAGGAAAGGGTGTACTGATTGCTAATTAAATCGACCACTGAGAAGCTGAGTGACGGGTTGGACTGTGTTGTTAGAATTAAGCCTTATCAGAGGAATTTGCCACTTTCCAGGCACCCGACTTAATTCCTTGTTGACCTCCCCGGTCTGCAACTCCCGGCAAGATCAGGCGAGATCTTCTATCGGCGATCCCACTCAGCGTGAGGGGACACACCAATTCCCCCTCCTCCCTGCTATCCCCAGGGAGGGGAAAGAGACAGACAGAAATATATTTACATGCCTTTTATTTCTGTCTTCACAGCAGTACAGAGAAACGTGTCTGCACTCTCTTAACATCAATAGCAGAGAGGGAAACTCCTCCCCTGTATTTCCTGTACTCCCAGTACAGGTCAGATGACACTCTGAGCTAACATCCGGTGCTCAGCACAGTGAATAGGCTGTTCCTTTGTTCCCACGGTACAGTCACAAGCATAAACATGCTGTCTGGCATTCCAGCCAGCTGGAGCTCGCTGCTACATTGCTCCTTTTTCGTAACATACTCCCCCAAAAGAATCAATGCGTGTTGCGGTGAGCAAAGCTTCATCCAGAGAAGAAAACAAACAGTTGTTATACATATAACACTCCCCTGTTGTTTCAGTTCCACCCTTGGAACTCCCCGCCACTGGTTTCCCCAGTGTACCTCTCTGGTTGTCTGGCTTCCAAGGAATGAGTGCATCTGCATTGCCTTGGCTAGCAACTCTCTGTTGTGTCTTTGTCTCTGACTTAGACACTGCTTCAACCTGTCCTCGGTTGTTTACAACAGCAACACATGCAACAGCTAAATTAGCAAACTCTTTTGAGTACCTCTTTGGTGGTACACCCTTTGTAACTCTTTCAGACCTGTGTATGAGGTGCTGATCCTCTCTGCTCACTGGTTCAGCCTCTGGACTTTGCTGAGAACCAGTACCAATGGTAAACAGTGGTTCATCCTTCATCTGTGAAGGTCTATCCATTATGTGAGATTTCCTCTCAATGACTGTTTCAACTGAGCTCTTTGAGCTATCACTGTCATCATCAGTACCACTGTAATCAGTAAAATCATCATCATCATCATCATCATCTGAATCGTTACCTGTGGGAAATGTGTGAACAATTACTCTCTCCTGTTCAGGAGCACTCTCTAGAAATTTTGTGAGAATCACCTGACCAGATTCAGACAAAATTACTCTGTAGAGACCCTTTTCATATCCCACAAAAATGCCTCTGGCATTCTTTACCCCACCTGGAGCTTCTGTTCTCACTTGAGACCCGAAAACCTTAAAATAGGCAACAGAAGGTTTTCTATTGAACAGCTTCTCAAAAGGAGAACTTCCCAGCTGTTTTGAGACGTTTCTCAACCACACGTGAACATAGGACATTAACGACTCCGCCCAATATTCATGTGGCAAATGTGAACTAAGCAATTGCGCATTCATTCCCTTTTGCAATTCTTTGTTCACCCTTACACAGACACCTCTGTTCCATGCTTCCGCTGAAACAGCAACCTTGTGTCTTATCCCTTTCTTCTGCAGGAACTCCTGAAAATCCTGTAAAAGAAAAACTGGCTTGTCATCTGTGAAAAGACAATCAATGTTAGCATCATGCATGCTTTTAACCTTGTCACATAACTCCTTAAACCTTTCTAAGGCTTCTCGTGGTTTCTCAAAAACATAAATCCAGACATAATTTGAGAAATGATCCACAAGCACAAGATAAAATCTTGCATTGCCTCTAGATGGTGCTAGAGGACCAATCACATCAGCATACACCCGCTGAAATGCCCTGTCGACCCTTGTGGACATCTTCCTGGTGTCCGCCTTGGTCACACCTGCGAGAGAGATCATGTTAGAATCAGAAGAATTACATTTCATGTAATCACTTTGATCAAAAGTCAACAAATACAGTCCATCTTTCTCTTTGGCAGAAAGATACAGCTCTCCATCTTTGTAGATCTTGCAGCTTTTAGCATCATAGGACAACCTCAGTCCTTTCTTTGCAATCTGCGAAACACTCAGCAGATTGAACTTCAACTCCGGAACCAAGTACACATTGTGTATAGTCAAGTTCAGACTCTTTAGATACACAGTTCCAATCCCGGTCGCTTCCAGCTCCTGACCGTTGGCCTGCTGCACAGTGAAGCTTTGCTTCTTAAACGTCGAAAACAGTTCTCTGTGTGGACTGAGGTGCTGTGTACACCCAGTGTCAAGAACAAATGAGGTCCCCACTTCTGGTGTGGCTTTTAGCGACATCAAAGCCATCGCAGGTTTTACCTGAGGCTTGGTACGGCTTTTGCCTGATGCTTCAGGCGTTCCAGAACTCCACTTGGCTCTGCCTTGTCGACGCGGCTCCTTACAGCTCCGCTGAAGATGCCCAGACTGTCCACAATTGTAACAGCGGACAACGTTCAAAGCTATAGCATGCTTTCCAGTAGCAACATCAGTGGGGGAATTAGAACTCCGTTCCACCCTCCCCCTGTCAGCAACATCCATTGCAGCTTGTACAGGAACATCAGCAGCGACAGTTCCTTCACTCCCCTATCTGGGGTCAAAGCTCTCCTCAGCTTTCGTTGAGCTCTCAGGAACTTGGCCAGCATCATCTTGGCTCACCCCTTCTGGTCCATCCAGACCATGATGAACAACTGTCTCTAGTCAGGGGAGATGGGCAAGGCAAGTCTCCCCCCTTCTTGGCATCCATCTAGAATCCAAGTCTCATCTCTCACTCTTCAGCCTGCTAAAATCCAATAGCTGGCTTGTTTACGCTCTTGGCACCTGGCAGCTAAAACGCTCGCTGCTATGGAAATTTCCCCTCCAAGAGCCGTGAGACTGTAGCCAAAACAATCCGTTGTTTTTTTTCGCCTCTCTCAGGCCCAGGCTCACAGTCCAGTTGCTTAGCAACTGTGCATTCCAATCCTTGATTATCAACCACAAGAATTCCTGGAATGCAGAGCTTCGCTCTCGGAGCTGTTTTTCCAAATGCAGCTCCCGTGAACCAGAGAATAAAGCAATCTGCGTTCACACCTTTAGCTCAAAAATCAGCATACCTTTTTGGGGCTCCGTTGCTTGGAAAACACCCCCTCTCGGTGTCCTTCCGTCTGTTCAGCTTCTGGCTGCATGCAGACGTTATCTTCTTTCCTTTGGTGAGGATGGCAAACGATCCCATCAACCTCTCAGTCTGCATTTCCATGGATCAGAAAACCATCCTCTGCTACCATGTTGTTAGAATTAAGCCTTATCAGAGGAATTTGCCACTTTCCAGGCACCCGACTTAATTCCTTGTTGACCTCCCCGGTCTGCAACTCCCGGCAAGATCAGGCGAGATCTTCTATCGGCGATCCCACTCAGCGTGAGGGGGACACACCAATTCCCCCTCCTCCCTGCTATCCCCAGGGAGGGGAAAGAGACAGACAGAAATATATTTACATGCCTTTTATTTCTGTCTTCACAGCAGTACAGAGAAACGTGTCTGCACTCTCTTAACATCAATAGCAGAGAGGGAAACTCCTCCCCTGTATTTCCTGTACTCCCTGTACAGGTCAGATGACACTCTGAGCTAACATCCGGTGCTCAGCACAGTGAATAGGCTGTTCCTTTGTTCCCACGGTACAGCCACAAGCATAAACATGCTGTCTGGCATTCCAGCCAGCTGGAGCTCGCTGCTGCATTGCTCCTTTTTCGTAACAGACTGAACAGAAGACTACATCAAAGAATCACAACTATGTCGGTATGTTGAAACGGATCGGAAAGGGGGGGGACTTTTCACTTTTTCAATATGATTTACCTAACAACCCCTCCCCAAGAAGAACCGCCACATGACTGATAGCAAGTGAGATGGGAAAATAAACTGTGTGGAAATAAAATTATCAACTAAAGGCTCTGTTTTGCAGAAGATCTGGAAAGGTAACAAATGGCTTTTTGATGACGCAGTTCTAATTGGGAACTGCCATTATGAGACAGACTTTGTTGCAAGATTTACAGTCAAAGGGGGAGGGAGCCACTGTTCTGTTATCATATCTGAATTCTACGTTTGATTTGGCAAGAACTCCCCTGGAAAGGCTGATTTATGGAGCAACTGGTCTAGGAAAGTTAATGAGCAGACGCTTAGACTGTATTTTATGGGAACTGCTGAAATGGCGCCTGCCGTTTGAATAGGACTTTTGGATCAGCGTGAAAATCCACACAGGACTATGATAATGTTTGCTTCAACTCACTTGTGGAGATAACTCAGAGGTTATTAAGAAGAAAAATGATAACAGCAAGAAGATTGGAAGACGGGATTTGTAAAGGATAACAACAAAGAGATGGAAAGATGGGACTTGTGAACATCAAAGCAGCAGAAATATGAGATGATTGGACCCTTTCTGAACTTGAAGCATGGGTACCCTCCAACAAAAAATTTAAATTCCGCTAAATATTTGGAGTTTATTATGTATTGGTATAATTTGGAATTAATGTGATATGATTGGTTTGTTAACTGGAAATTTAATAAAAATTATTTTTAAAAAAAGAACAGACCTCCGGAACAAATTAAGTACTTAACCCAAGGTACCACTATATTCCAATTCAACAAAACAAGTGATTTCCCACTCACCCAATATCAATGTTTATAACTTGAATTACATACTATTGCATTTTAAAGTTCCATCTTATCTAATTTGATCCTCTCTAACATGTTTCTTAATATATTCTGCTGTTTTCTTACAGTTTAAACCCCACTGTGGTCTTTGCATATGGGAAATAACTTTTTATATAGACTGGAAAGGTTTTCTAATCTTCTTTAAAAGATTCTAAATTTGTATCTTTTATCAATTTTTGCCATCTCTGCATATTCCAAGATTTTCATAAACCATTCTTTCTTTGAGGGTGTTCTCTCCTCCTTCCTCAGTTTAACAGTATACAATAAATATTTTGATCTGTAGTTTTTAATGCGTATTTTTAACTTTTATATGGTTTTGTGCTTTGCAATATTAATAATAATACTATTTAAATTATTACTATTATTTGTATTGCTTACAGCTTCTGACAACGGAGGCATATGGCATTTACCATTTTAACCAATGCTATCGTTGAAGCGGAAATATCACAATTGTTGGGGGAAATAGATAAAACAATTGCTGGCATCAGACTGAGTTATTACTAAGCAATAAGTACCTGAATGAGAGTATTTTCATCAATCTTGAATCCAAACCTCCATATGGCTCCAATGAGAGGAAGCTGGAGAAGTCCTGGAGGATAATGCCTGTGTGACCAGAGCTGTTTCAGGTAGTGCAGAATCAGAAGAGCCACCAGCAGAGCAATCAAAAGTGCCCATACCTCCATCCTTCTCTTGTTGTCTCTTTCTCCTTAATTTTTTCTAGGTTGCCTGGTCAGGTTCAACTCTCTTTCTCTAAGGAGTTTTTGCTTTCATCAAAGACATCAGCAGTATTGTCTGTTTTTATATGCTCAGTAATTAAAAACAAATAAGCAATAAGGGGTGCGACACCATTTGTAAGTAGCCTTGGAATGTGATACAATCAAACACTTGTACAATCAAATGCTATAATCCTTTTAATATGTGTCACACAGATGTGATGAAGTGTGCTTTATATCAGGCACATTTAACTCCCAAGAGACTGTGACCTACTTCCAGTACCCCAAGAGTCATCTGGTATTTAATATGGATATCTTTCCCTCTTATGGATTTGCTACTCCTTGTAACCTGTGCCTTGGGAAGGCATCAATCTGATGTAGGCGTCAAAGCCTTCAGAAAGAACTCTGAGTTCAAGCTCTTACTAATCCAGCAATGAGGGCCAGGATACTAAATGCATTACAATTGCAAAAGCCAACAAACTTCTACCTGCAGTTGACTCGAACCACAGTGCAGTACAATTGCTACTTCCACAGAGCACTTGCTAGTTGCAATCCATCAGGGGTGCCAACTTGAATAAAATATGAGGAAGGGGGCAAGTGAGCCCCACCTCATATAATCTATCACATAATGTGGCTCACGTCCACCATTAGAATGGCAATTGCCATGAAATTTGGGGGAGCCAGGACCCCTCAAATATTTTAGAGGGGCACTGAAGGGACCTCAGCCCCTAGTTCTTCGCTCCTAGGTAACCAATTTCCTGTTGAGTGCAACAGTAATAGAGAACCTTTGTTCTGGACAGCCCTTTAAATGTTTTTTCATAGTCATGAGGAAAGGAGTCTGTGGTTGCTCGTCTAATTCTTCAGATGGCTAGGCAGCACATCCCCAGAGATGCCTCCTGTTGGCATTCCACTGCCCAAGGCAGCTGTCATAGCCTGCCTTGTGGGTGGACCGGCCCTCCGCTTCATAGCTGGTTATGATAAGAAATCCACACACACTTTCCTGAATTTACAGCTGTAGCTGCTAGTGCTAGATTTCAGGATCTGTGAGTTGGCATAATAACACAATACTGGCATGAAGAGAGGGAACCAATGGAAACTCTGGCATCAGAAATTCAAAATGTGTGCTACATATTTCACTGCCTAATGGTCACCACCATATAATAGGCAAGCTCCTTTTTTCAAATCAGACCCAAAGCATTCACCACATAATGGTCACAGGGCATTCTAAGCATGCATGAGAATGCCTTGCCCCAGTTTGGACTACCTATTATCCTTCCTGTGCCTGTTCACACATATTTTGTGCATCCTAATCACACAAAAAACAGTTAGTAATAAGTAATAAGCATTGTAAACATAATTATGTTTCTTCATAAAGACTGTTTCCTCGATTAAGGGTCGTTCCTTGGTTTTTCACCAAATAATCGTCGCACCCCCCTTTTTTGAAAATAATAATTGGCATAAAAGTGTGACAATTATGGTGAAATATGGTACTTAACACTAAACATATTTAAACATTCATTTGTCATCATGATAAGCATTGTTCAAATAGGGAAGGATGAAAATATATTTTGGCCTTTCTAGTATGTGAAGATGGATGAGACAGGAATTTGAAGTCATACTCTAGTTTTAGAGCATTTTGTTTAGGATTTTCTGTTTTCTCAGTCCACATTTGAATGTCAGATGAACATCAATCCGAAGAAATTTATGTACAGAGGGAATGCTCCATAGGCAAGACCCCTTAACACACTCAGGTTTCCACTTCTTTCCTCTCACATTTTTAACAATGCTAATGGATGGATGTCAACCCACTTTAGCAACTAAATTGACTATGAGAAATATTTGGTGGGAACTCAATGCCATTTTCAACTGAGATTCAGGAAAAAAAGATGCTGGTTTCCAGGCAAGAGATTAATATTCACTTATAACAGGGAATATAATGATTCCTTGGATGAGCAGTATTCAGCTTCAAAGCATACACTTACTTTCTCCATCTGAAATAGATAGAAATCAATGAGATCCTGTGGATCATGCAGAGACTGATTCTCCTTATGCTTCTCTAGCTCCTCCTTTGCAAATGAAAGCACCATCTCTGAGCAGGACAAGGCCTTCTTGTGGGGCCCTGGGAGATGTTTCATGAGTCATGGGAGAATTTGCTGTTGAAATGGAATACTCAGGATGAAACGGTGAAATCTGCTATGATTAAATGGGCACAAGATGTTGGACATAACATTATGATGGCTGACTGGGAACTGTTATGGACCACAGGTATGAAGTTTACGGCATGTAATGCCTTAAGAGAGAATCTAATGAAAATGATCTATAGGTGGTACATAACACCAGTCAAGCTTGCAAAAATCTACCATTTGCCTGATAACAAATGTTGGAAATGTAAGGAGACTGAAGGTACATTCTTTCACCTTTGGTGGACATGCCCAAGGATTAAGACATTCTGGGAGATGATTTATAATGAAACAAAAAAGGTATTTAAATATACCTTCTTGAAGAAACCAGAGGCCTTTCTCCTGGGCATGGTCGGCCAATTGGTATTAAAGAAGGATAGAACTTTTTTTATGTATGCTACAACAGCAGCAAGAATACTCATCACAAAGCATTGGAAGACACAAGATCTACCCACCCGGGAAGAATGGCAGATGAAGCTGATGGACTACATGGAATTGGCGGAAATGACTGGTAGAATCCGAGACCAGGGAGAAGAGTCGGTGGAAGAAGATTGGAAAAAATTCAAAGTATATTTACAGAAATATTGTAAAATTAATGAATGTTAGAAGGATGCTGGAATGAAGTTACATGGTTTTAGCAGGAATGTTATAAAGAACTAAGTAAAAATAGATTGTTAATGGGCCAAAGTGTAAAATTTAAGGTCAGATTGTGGTAAGATAAATTATAGAACAAAAATTGAGAAAGATGGAAAGGATTTGCTGAAATAGCTAATTGAACTAGAATACAAAAAAAGGGAGGTGTGAGGAGGTCGATGAAACAATTAAATGAAAGATAAAGATACGGAAATACTGGATGTGTTTTTAAATGTTTTTGTTTTTCTTATTGTTCTGTTGTATTGTTTTTTGCCTTTCTTTTTCTCTTCTTTGATGTATTGTAAGGTATTGTTTTGTTTTGTTTAACTTTTTATTGTTTCTTTTTTCTTTTCCCCCCTGTAACTATTAAATCTCTAATAATTATCTTTTTTAAAAAAAAAAAAAGAGAGAATTTCACAAAGCTAAAGTAAAGATAGCAGAAATGCTGCCATTACCATGAGGAAGCTTGGTCACACCATTTGTGCTTTGGATCTGCATTATTCTTCAGGGCTAGCATATTAGTTTCTCACTAAGAAGAAGGAAGGTGTCTATCGCTTTTCTGGAATCTCACAATGATTGGGTTCTATGAATTATCCCTAGCTGAAAATGTGAAAGAAAACTATGGCTGAAAATATTTTCCCAGCTCCCAGGCATCATTCCAAAACTGGGCACAATCAGAGGACCCCTCCTGGAACAAGTTAGTGGCCTTTTATGGTAGGTGAGTGTGGGTGGAGAATAGGGTGTGGGGGGAATTCAAGTAAGTTCACATTTAAAAGCAAATTTCCCTAATACACAAATGGAAAGACAGCCATCGTTCAAAATGTACACTTCTCCATTTTTTAAATTTTTAGTTGTATTTATTAAATCTTCCAGTTTGCCAGTCAAGTAATTCTGATCTTTCATCACAAAAAACTAAACCTTGACACATTAGTTGGGGTGTATGAAAACCTGGCTGCACATGAAAACCTGAAGTTATATGGCTTTAGTAGAAAGCTTATAAGGAATTAATACAGAGATGATTATGTGGTGATTAATGATAGCCAGGATATAAATCTACCAATTGAACTTTCACTTGGAAAGCAAGCTATACGCTGGCACAAGAAGAGGCAATTATTAACAGGCAGAAAACAAAACAAAAAGCATGTTTTTATTATTTGCAACTAAGAAATATTCTAAACTGCTAAGGTTGTTCCGATGGTTAAGAATTCTCATTTTATATTACTTTTAACTTCTTCGCCCCTTTGGTGTAAATGCCAACTGCAAAGTGAAATTTACCTCTCTGATTGTGGGAACGAATATGCTCCTCTATTAAGGAGACAGATGCAGGTTTTCAAGGCAGACTGTTAAGGTGGAGAGTGAGTTGTTAATAAGACCTCAGTATGGTATAAAACTGGGTGTAAAATAATAAATATACAACAAGTAATTAACTATGGATTAGTTTTTAATATTGTATATGACTACAGTGCAGAGATTCCTGTTTAAATAGAAATGAAGGATTGGTTTTTTTAAAAAAAACATGGAGGAATGGTTGGAATTTTTGGGGAGATAAAGTCACCATACTGGAATGGAGGAAGACTATTGGGTACACACTTGAAGGTGATATCTGGCTGGTGAAAGACCCTGTGTGAGAGGCAGAGAAGGAAAGATCTCCCAGGATGGGAGACTGGGGGAAGAAAGGGAAGCACCCAGGTGAGAGCTGGGAGGGTCCACTCCATTCTGTGTGAGACAAGATATAATAATAATAATAATAATAATAATAATAATAATAATAATAATAATAATAATTTTATTATTTATATCCCTGCCCTCCCCAGCGGAAGCCGGGCTCAGGGCGGCTAACAACAATAAAACAGTACAACAGTACAACACAACACAACACTCTAAAATCATTCATTATAAAATTAATTCAAAGCAAACCACTGGCAACCATTGGGCCAGAGCTCCACAAAGATTGCCGAAGGAGGGAGTCAGGCTGTGCCCTGGCCAAAGGCCTGGTGGAACAACTTTGTCTTGCAGGCCCTGCGGAAAGATGTCAAGTCCCGCAGGGCCCTAGTCTCTTGTGACAGAGCGTTCTACCAGATCGGAGCCACAGCCGAAAAAAGCCCTGGCTCTAGTTGAGGCCAGCCTAACCTCTCTGTGGCCTGGGAACTTCAAGAT